ACCGGCCTTAAGTACTCCTCCGGGCGAGCGGCGTCGTCCTCGTCCATACGACTTTCACGCTTAATGGTCGCAGGCGGGCAGGCCGCCTTCATCGCAAAGAGCGAGAGGCTCGCGCCGCAGAGCAGCTGCAGCTGCGCAGGGGGCGTCGACGGCAGCGCCCGGAGGCCTGCCCGCCTGCGACCATTAAACGTGAAACTCGTATTGACGAGGACGACGCCGCTCGCACGGAGTAGTACTTAAGGCCGGCCCGCCCCTCGCTGCGCAGCAGGGCGAGCAGCGCAACGACGAGGGAGGTGCACATGGCGCGCCACGCGTAGCGCAGAAAGACGTGAGACTCGTCCGAGCCGGTCAGCGCGGCGATGGCGTCGCCTGCTCCAGAAAAAGAAAGGTGTGAAAAGGAAGCGTCGGGGGTGGGGAGCCGGCCAGCGCCGCGAAAGCGTCGCCTGCTCCAGAAGAAGAAGCATATGCAAAGAAAACGCGGGGCGCGAGCCGGTCAGCGGTGCGATGGCGTGGCCCTGCAGGCTGGAGAGCGTCCACCCCGAGTAGCAGGACAGCGTAGCCCACGCCAGCAGCCTCCAGCCGAAGAGGGGCACCGCCGTCTCGACAACCTGTTCACAGCAAGAGGTGTGAAGAGACGCTGTTCACAAGGAAGGGGCACCGCCGTCTCGACAACCAGCTGCACGTGCGGCGTCGCGTCTCCCTCCGCCTCGGACCGCAGCTTGACGAACCCGGGCGTGGCGGGGGCAGCCAGCCCGCCCGCGGGCGAGGCGGGCGCGCGCGGCGACGGCGGCTGCACCTCGATGCGCACGTTCTTCACGCGCGCCGACGGCAGCGAAGTGAGCGTGTTCAGCACGGAGGAGAGGGCCGACTGGCGCGCGGCGGGCGGCGGCGACTGCAGCGCCAGAAGCGGCATCGAGCCATCGCCAGCCTCGTCGTGCCCGTCGTGGCCAGGCACCTGTTCACAGACGCAGGTGTGAAGAGGCGCCGCTCACACCCTCGCGGCGCCCGTCGGCAGCGTAGGCTCGTTGATGAGGTAGGCGATCGAGCCGCGCGCGTCCTTCGGCAGCTCGATCGACATGGCCACGGCAGCGTCCGCCGACTCGCCGAGCGCATTGATTGAGCCCGCCACCTGCCCGGAGATACGGGGAGATATGGGGAGATTTGGGGAGATCGAGCCCGCCACCTGCCCGGAGATATGGGGAGATATGGGGAGATTTGGGGAGATCGAGCCCGCTACCTGCCCGGCAACTACAGTGTGTCTATGCGCTCCTATTTGCCTATGTCGCATTTGTGCGGCCTCCCTAACCCACCAGTGTGTGTGTGTGTGTGTGCACGCGCGCCAAGGCCCTTCTCTGTCTCTCTGTCTCTCTGTCTCTCTGTCTCTCTGTCTCTCTGTCTCTCTGTCTCTCTGTCTCTCTGTCTCTCTGTCTCTCCGTCTCTCCGTCTCTCTCTCTCTCTCTCTCTCCGTCTCTCCGTCTCCGTCTCTCTGTCTCTCCGTCTCTCTGTCTCTCTGTCTCTCTGTCTCTCTGTCTCTCTGTCTCTCTGTCTCTCTGTCTCTCTGTCTGTCTGTCCGCCTGCTGCGCCGCCTCGGCGGCCACGCCGTCAGCGCTGCTCCGGTCAGAGTCTGTCGAGGAGCGAGACCTGTTCACAGCATCCCTCCCTGCCAGCCCGCCTTCTCTCTTTGCCGAGCGCGGCGAGGAGCGAGACATAAACGAGATCGCCGACTGCACCTGTTCACAGCTCGGCCTGTGAAGAGGCGCTGCTCACAGGCGCATGAACGGGATCGCCGACTGCACCAGCGGCGCCGCTAGCGTCGGCAGCGGCGGCGCCGAGCGCACCTGGGCAGTGCCGTGGTGGTACTGCAGATAGCACAAGTGTTGTGAGTACGGCTGGAACAACCGATGCAGAGTGCTTAAAAGGGCGACACATGTGCATGTGCATGTGCATGTTGTGCATGTTGTGCATGTGCATGTGCATGTGCATGTCATGTTGTGCATGTTGTGCATGTTGTTGCGTAGTGCAAGTAGTCACGTAGTACTGGCAGTGGCGTAGCAATGAGCGGCTCCCGGGCGCACCAGCGGGTCGGTCGGAGATATGGGGAGATATGGGGAGATATGGGGAGGTATGGGGAGATATGGGGAGATATGCGCACCAGCGGGTCGGTCGGAGTGAAGCGCGGCGCGGGCGCTGCCGCGGGGCGAACGGCGGGAGAGACGGGAACCTGTTCACAGCTCGGCCTGTGAGACGCCGTTCACAGCGGGTGGGGTGGGCGGCGGTGAGAGGCGGGCACAATGGAGAAGTTGTGCGAAGCTCCGGACGCCGACGGGCCCGCCTGGTCAATCATTCATTCCTCGTGCTGCGAGTCACTGGCAGAGGACAGTGTGTACGCCTTGTCATCAATTCACTCATCCGTGCTGCGAGTCACTGGCAAAGGGCTCTTTGGACAGAGTGCGCGCCTGGTGATTGGTTACTGCATCCGGTGCGAGCCAAAGAGCGGCCGGGTGGCGGGCCCGCCCGAGCTAGGGGGGGATATGGGGAGATATGGGGAGACATGGGCGGGGGCGGGCCCGCCCGCAGCGGCGCGGCGTCGTCGCTGATTGCGAGGAGGAGCCGGTTCGACTCGTCTTGCTCCGCGGCGGGCAAGACGTCGGCCAGCGAGGAGGCGCGCACCAGCCGCACCTGAGAGGTGGGGAGAGGTGGGGAGAGGTGGGGAGAGGTGGGGAGAGGTGGGGAGAGGTGGGGAGGTGTGGGGAGGTGTGGGGAGGTGCGGGGAGGTGTGGGGAGAGGTGGGGAGAGGTGGGGAGGTGTGGGGAGAGGTGAGGAGGGGTGGGGAGGTGTGGGGAGAGGTGGGGAGAGGTGGGGAGGTGTGGGGAGAGGTGGGGAGAGGTGGGGAGGTGTGGGGAGGGGTGGGGAGAGGTGGGGAGAGGTGGGGAGAGGTGGGGAGGTGTGGGGAGAGGTGAGGAGAGGTGGGGAGAGATGGGGAGGTGTGGGGAGAGGTGGGGAGAGGTGGTGAGGTGTGGTCCGCCAGCGGGGAGGCGCATACCAGCCGCACCTGGGCAGGTGCCGTCTCGGCGGATCTCGGGCAATCTCGGCGGATCTCGGGCAATCTCGCGCGACCTGGAGGCTGCTGGCCCCGAGATAGGGGGAGATCTGGGGAGATCTGTGGAGATGGCACCTGCCATGGAAGCCTGCCCGCCCCGCCCCCCTCCCGCTCCCCCTCCTGCGTCGCCTCGGCCACCTCCCTCACCGTCTCTGCAAGCTGGTCCTGCGTCTCGATTGCGAACCACGCCCGCCCGTCCGTCGGCAGCGCGCCTGTTCACAGCTCACGCCTGGAGGCGGAGGGGCTGTGAACGGAGCCCCTCCCTACCCGCCGGCAGCGCGCCCAAGCGCCCTCGGCCAGCGATCAGCGCCATCGCCTGCGCCAGCGCCGAATAGCTCGTCGCAGCCACATCTCCCCCCATCTCCCCCCATCTCCCCCCACCTCCCCACACCTCCCCCCCATCTCCCCCCATCTCCCCACACCTCCCCACACCTCCCCACATCCCCCCACACCCCTCCTCATCTCCCCCCATCTCCCCACACCTCCCCACACCTCCCCACATCCCCCCACACCCCTCCTCATCTCCCCCCATCTCCCCACATCCCCACCACCTCCGCTAGCGTGAAGTAGCTCGCCGCCGCCGCTAGCGACGCCATCGCCTCAAACACCGCCGGGCTGCAGACGTACAAGCCAGCCTGATGAGGCGCGGTGAATTCACACACAGAGAGAGGTTGACGCAAGACCGCACACGCACAGGCAAGCCTGATCAAACATGGCTGGTGAGCATAGAGGTAGATGGTGGCGCAAGACCGCACACGCACAGGCAAGCCTCGATGCCGTCTGCGTCCGCAACGGCCGTCCCGAGGCCGAGCACGGCCCGCACGCCGTCGCAAAAGAAGCCGGCGCCGCCTCCGCCGCCACCACAGCCACCGCCTCCGCCTCCCCCGCCTCCTCCGCCTCCTCCGCCTCCGCCGCCGCCACCACCGCTGCCGCTGCCACTGCCACCGCCGCCGCCACTGCTGCCGCCACTGCCGCCGGCGCCGCCGCCGCCACCATCACCGCCACTGCCTCCGCCGTGTTCGTCGTCCGCCGCTGCTCTTCCGAGCTTCACGCGCACCGTGGTGGCGGGGAGGCCTGTTCACAGCTGCGGGGGGTGAAGAGGCGCCGGCCTCGCCTCGGCGGCATCTCGGCGGCATCTCGGCGGCATCTCGGCGGCATCTCGGCGGCATCTCGGCGGCATCTCGGCGGCATCTCGGCGGCATCTCGGCGGCATCTCGGCGGCATCTCGGCGGCATCTCGGCGGCATCTCGGCGGCATCTCGGCTAGTCTGGGCTCCTCCCACATGCAATGTCCTCCGGAGCCGCGTCTACTCCCCTGTAGTCTCCTCTGATCGCGTCTAACCTCGTCAGCCTCGTCCAGCCGTGTCCAATCTCGTGCAGTCTCGTGCAATCTCGTGCAATCTCGTGCAATCTCGGCTAGTCCCCGCCTCGCTGGTGCGACGCAATGTCCACTCTCGTGCAATCTCGTGCAATCTCGTGCAATCTCGTGCAATCTCGTGCAATCTCGTGCAATCTCGGCTAGTCCCCGCCTCGCTGGTGCGACGCAATGTCCGTCTCGACCAGCGCGATCGCGTCGAGGGAGGCGGGGAGGGAGGCGACCGCAAACTGGCGCACGACGTGCGCGTCGAAGATGTGGTCGGCCGTGCAGAGCAGGAACGGGCCTGCAACTCATTAGCGAACTGATTGGTCGCTCGATTAATGGAGAAGTGGTCGGCCGTGCAGAGCAGGAACGGGCCGTCAAGCCAGCCGCGAGCACGCAGCAGCGACGGCGCGTGGCCCTCGCTGTACGTCGCGCCTGCTCACGCCGCTCTCCAGCTCTCACACGCCTGCTGCGAAGAGGTGCCGCGCCCCTCGCCGCGCGGTGTTCCGAGGTCGACGCACTCGAGGGCTAGCTGAGCTGCGACCTGTTCACGCCTCTCGGCGTGTGCGAGGTGTGAACAGAGCCACACTCGAGAGCTGAAGTTGCCACCGGGTGGCGGCCGAGGGCGGCACGGATCGCGTCGCCGTGTCGACCAAGCACGAGCACCTGTTCACACCTCTCATACGTGGCGCGCCTTTCTTTCTGTTGTCCCTCGTGGCGCGCCCCAGCACGAGAGCACCACGCGGCGCACGCCGCCGGCATGCAGCTGGGAGAGGACGTGCGCAAGCACGGGCTGGCCGCCGAGGTCGACCAGCGCCTGCCGGTGACAAGTGCTTCGTTGACTACCTCAGAAGAGTCAATGGCCGCCGAAGTCGCGACCCGCGCATATGGGTGGGTATTGGCAGGGGAGTGCGGGCAGCTCTCCGGCAAACGCCCGTCTGCTCGGCACCTTTGGGCAAGCGGCGGAGTCGAGCGCGCTCGGCCGCGCGGCGACGGAGAGCAGCGCCGTCGTGACGCCGCCTGAAGAGACGCGCACACGCGGAGGAGGGGATTCGCGCGACACTTCCGGGAAGCGTCCCTCTGCTGCAGTGTGTAGGCATGGTGGAGGTGTGGGGATGGTGGGACACCAGAGTCGGAGGTGCCGCCCGCGACGGGCTCAAACGCGATCTGCTCGGCCGGGCGGGCGACGACGCCGCTCGCGTGCAGCGTGCCGCCTTCCGCGGCCGTGCGCTGCAGGCCGCCCTGCAGCTCCGCCATCGAGACTCCGATGATGGCAGCGAGCCTGTGGGCGGTGATGGGAGGCGGGGTGGCGAGCCTGGAAGTGGCGAGTTTGCACGAGGCCAGTGCGAGTCGCGAGCGCGTGTAGAGAGAGGTGAAATCTGCTGACGAGAAGGTTTGTTTGGTGGAGCGCTGTGTGTTGGCGGGAAACCTCTCGAGCTGGATGGCGGTGACGGCGGCGGCGCTGTTGCCTCCCGCATCGAGCGCCGCGCCGCGCAGACGGGTAAGTGTGCTCGCGGCGGTGTCGTCGTTCCGCTCGCTCGGCCCAGCGTCCTCGAAGGCTCGGTACTCGTGCTCCATCCGGTCCAAAGCTGTACTCCGAGTCCGGCGAGAGAAAAAAAAGAAGCGGAAAAGAATTTTCCTTGCAGAAGAGAAAGAACAACCCGCTGAACACGAACGCACCAACAAATTGAACTTAATCTTTACCTCATTATACATTAGTACCTATTTTGCGACCTCCCGACTCTCAGCCAAGCAAGCAGTCTGGCCCGTGTGAGCCTGCTGCGAGCAAGTCAGTCGGTTTATGCGTCGTGCCGACTCTACCGCTTGCCTTAAGGTCGCTCTGCGGTGTCGGCATCCGAGGCAGCTTGCATTGATCAGGACCTCCCCGCCCGTTTGAGGACCTCCAGTCCTGGCAGCAGCCTCTGCGCGATGGCAAAGCCGACCTCGGCGACAGGCCAACCCCACGCGGCGACCATCGCGAGCTGGAGGACGGGTCGGCTTCTCCACACGTGTGATGCATCTCGCCGACGCGATCAAGGAGCACGGGACGCGACCAAGAAGCGCCAGCATGAGGGGACCCTATCAGAAGTCCTCAGCAGGGTGGCAGACAGAGGTCCACCTCCTCCCACCAGCCATCTTGGCTAAGTAAGGCATGCGCTTACTTACGATCGAGCGCGGCGAGTGCCAGAGCGGTGCGGTGACATCCGACACACAGACTGTCTTAAAGGGCGCCCTTTCCGCGGTGGGGGTGTCCTTTCCAAGTAAGTACCAATACGCGGCATCGCGGCTGCCACCGAGCGTAAAACGGTCGACTTGGTTCTTGATCGTTCTTTTCTCACATTCTGATTTCGTTGAGCAGTGCGAATGGAAGAAATGATAGATTTGTTTGATAAAAAGATGGAACGCTCGCGGGATCGCACAACTTCATTACCCTTGAATCATCTTGAGTATGAACTCACTTCCCGGAAGGATCACATTCATGGCGACACATGGACGCGAGAGCGAGGTGTTGCTTGGCACGAGATGGCGGTAAGCAGAAGCCGTAGGAAATGGATGGCGGCCGCGGTGGCACGCTCGGGACGCGACCAAAGGAGACAGTGCGCCGGCGAGAGAGTGAGGGATCCCAGAGGTCCTCACAGCAAGAGAGAGGTCCTCACACGGAGTGATTGAAGTCCTCACACTCTAGCCCGCGGATGTGGCAATGACCGTTCGCGACGTGTGTGATGCACACTGTCTGTCTCGCTGACGCGATCAAGGAGCACGCGGGACGCGATCAAGGTAGGAGCGCCAGCGAGAGGGTGAGGGGACCCAGCACGCTATCAGAGAGAGGTCCTCAGCAGCGAGGCAGACGCGGAGAGGTCCTCACAGCAGGAGGTCCTCACACGGCAGAGGTCCACCTCTTCCACCAGCCATCCCGGGTAAGGCATGTGCTCACACCGAGTTGAGTGGCGAGTGGGCATCTGATAGGCACTGTCTCAAAGGTACGTGTCGTCTCGCGGTTAAGCCCTTTCCAAGTTGCTCTAAGGCGCCTCCGTCAAAACCCGAACCGCATTTCAAGATGGTGTGTCTCAATGTGTGAAAAACATATCTCGATGAGTGGTGCAACGTGGCCTGCTCCAGGCCGCCCTGCCTTCGAAACTTAAATCCGCCTTCGATGTTTTTCTTCTTTGCCAACTTGTGGCGTCGCGAGGCCGAGCGATCGAAGCCTGCGCGGTGGGCGGAGGTCGTATGCTACTGAGTCTGCGTCTTTTGGTGCTGGTCGTTCGCGGCACCGAGGTCGCCAACCATGGGCGATTGGAGGAGTGGGATGGCGACGGAGCGAGGCGTCGACGGCGACGTTGGCTGCAGCATGCACGCCGAGGATGCCAGCAGTGGCAGCATGGGCTGGCGTCCGAGAAATTTTTTTTACAACAAAAGCCTTTCGCACACGCACGAAAAAAGAAAAACAAAGCAGAGATGGTACCCTTTGCTGCCTCAGCGTCTCGCACACACGACATCCTCTCATTGCTTTCTAATCATCTTCGATTATGAGTTCACTTCCCACAGATCACATGGGTCATGCGAGAGCGAGGTGTTGCAGGGACAGGTAGATGCCGGTCGGTAAGCAGAAGCCCTGCAGGAAGAGGATGGCGGCCGCGGTGGCACGCTCGGGGCGCGACCAAAGGAGACAGTGCGCCAGCGAGAGAGTGAGTGAGGGATCCCAGAGGTCCTCACGCTAAGAGGAGAGGTCCTCACACGGAGTGACGGGGAGGTCCTCACACTCTATAGCCGCCACGCTCCGCGCGGCGGTGGGGCAATGACCGACGTGTGATGCACACTGTGTGTCTCGCCGACGCGATCAAAGACTTCGGGACGCGATCATCAACGAAGGAGCGCCAGCGCGAGAGTGTGAGGGGACCCTATCACGCTATCAGAGAGAGGTCCTCAGCAGGTAGCGGAGGTCCTCACTGCAGGAGGTCCTCACACGGCAGAGGTCCACCTCCTCCCACCAGCCATCTCCCGGCTAAGGCATGTGCTCGACACTAATGATCGGGCATGGCGAGTGCCAGAGCGGTGTGGCATGACACCACACTGTCTCAAACAGGTACGTCTCGTAAAATGTTGCTCTAGGCGCCTCCGTCAAAAACCGAGTTTTCAACGATTAGTGTATGGCATCACTCGATGAGTGGTGCAACCATGTGGCGTCGGCACAGGCGGCGTGGGCGATGCCTCCAGTGCTGGAGCCCTCCGCCGCGGCCGCCGCGGACCCGGCCGACCTCCACGTGGTCTTTTCCGCCGAGTGCATCCCTGCCTTCCATAGCGAAGATTCATGCGGCGTTTTTCTTCTTTCCCCGAACATAAAAAATGTCGTCGGCAGCTCGCCGACGATCGGCGGGCTTGCTGCTCGGCGCGGCCGGTCGTCGCGAGGGCCGTCGCTGCCCCGCCTCCTCCGCCTCCGCCTCGCCGCCGTCCTCCGTCGCCGCGGCGGCCATCGCGCCGAGCCGCCCGAACCGCCGAGGCGAGGCGTCGATGGCTCACACAGTCCCGTGGCACCTGCTGCGGACGTCGGCGCCGCTGCCGGCAGAGCTCGTGACGCATCGGCTGAAGAGCTGTGACAGCGTGCGCCGCCTGCTGCAGCTCCACGAGGAGCACGCCGATGGCTTCAACGCGTACCACGCGTCGGCGCTCTGGTCACGCGCCGGTCGTCTCGCCTTCTCCGAGCCTTCCGAGCGAGAGTGGGCGCTCCGGAACGAGGGGAGCGCCTTTGGCGCCGTCCGCGTCGCGACGGCGGCGCTCTCGCCGCAGATGTCCGGCCGGAACGTCGCAAACGCCTCGTATGGCATCTGGCGCGCGCTCGGTTGCCCTCTCTCTCTCCTCCGAACCTCCTCTCCCTCTCTCCAGCTCCTCCTCTCCCTTTCCTGCCCGCTCTCTCTTCTCTTCATACGACAGAAATGCCCCCCCCCCCCCCCAACGAATGGACGGGGCACGACGAACGGGGGAGACGGGAGAGGACGCGACCGAACGGTGGGAGTACCTAATTAAATGGAAGGGCGCGACAAAACGGACATGGGAGCGCCACCGGACCATCGCGGCGATGGGGGGCGCGAAGCTAGACACACACACACACACACACACACACACACACACACACACACACACACACACCGCTCACCCACGCGCACTGGGCCTTGCACTTTGAATGCCGTGGGGCTCCTGTCGTCAGACGTGGAGACGCGAGGGTTGCCCCCCCTTGCCCCACCACCTCGTGTGTGTGGAGAAGTTTACCTTACCTTACCTTACCTGTCGCCCACCCGCGCTGCTTTGCTCTCTCTCTTTTGTCAGGCACCGCAGACTCGCTCCAGCTGACGCGCGCCTTCGGTCCGCTCGACGCTGCTGGCGAGGTTGCGGTGGCGGACGTGCTTACCGCTGTTGCGAAGCGGCTGTGCGACGCTCCGGCAGGCGGCCGCTCGCTCCTCGCGGCCTGAGAAGAGTGCAATGATGAGAGGAATGATGAGACTGATAATGAGAAGGTAGTCGTAGGAAAGGAAGGGCATACCTCACACTAGAACTCGCAACTCAATTCTAATAATAAGAGCCAGAAGAATGACACTAGTGGATACCTGTTAATTGCCTCCGGCAGGCAGCTGCCCGCTCCTCTCCGCCTGATCATAATGGAATAAAGGAAGAAGAAGAAAGCAGTCGGAGATAGGGAAGGGCATACACTACGATGGAGTACTTGCAATTCTAATACGAGTGATAATAATAATAATGACGCTAGTGAAGATGAGTTAACCCTGCCAGGCGGCCGCCCGCTCCTCGCCGCCGCATCCTCGCCCGAGCTCGTCGGCATCGCCTCCGCCTTCGCCGCCGCCCTGCCGCAGCACGGCGCCGGGTGGGTCTGCGCGCCGTTGGCGTCCGAAGCCGCGCGCCGGCGTACAGAGCTGCGACCCTGGCAGCTCGGCCGGCTCAGCCTCGCTCTCTCGCGCCTCGGCGAGCCGCTTGCTGCGGACGCCGAGGCGAGGCCTAGCCGAGATCCGAGATGCAGCCGAGGTGCAGCCGAGGTGCAGCCGAGATGCAGCCGAGATGCAGCCTAGATGCAGCCGAGATATGCCGGTGTGAGTCACAGCCGTGCGAGCTGTGAGCTTCGTATGCTTCTAGCTCACCCGCTCTGCCTGTCTGGCTTCTAGCTCACCCGCTCTGTCTGTCTCGCTTCTAGCTCACCCGCTCTGTCTGTCTGGCGTCCGATCAGCCCTCCCGCGGGCAGGACCTCGCCGACGAGATTTGCACCCGCATCCGCCACTTCGGCGCGCACGAGCTCGCCTTCCTCTCCGCCTCCCTCTCGGCCGGCGCCCCCGACCGCCATCCTTCACCGCCACGCCTCTTCGCCGCCGTCGCCGCCCACGCCGCCGCTGCCGCGCGCTCCCTCGACGCCGTCGCCCTCGCCGCCCTCGCAACCGCCTTCGCCCAGGCGCCCACTACCCGAGATCATTCGAGATTACCCGAGATTACCCGAGCTTACCCGAGCTTACCCGAGATTGCCCGAGATTACCCGAGCTTACCCGAGATTACCCGAGATTACCCCACACATGCTACCCGAGCGTACCCCGAGATTTCGCTAGATTCCGCTAGATTCCGCTCGCTTCCCCGAGATTCCCCGAGAGTGCCCGCCATCTCCTCCGCCCAGGCGCCAGAGTACGCGGGCGGCGGGACTGGCCCTGCGAGAGGAGCGGCGGCGGCTGCTCCCGGCGCTGCCGCCGCCGCCGCCAGCGGCATCGGCGGCGGCGGCGGCGGCGGTGGCGGCGGCGGCGGCGGTGGCGGTATCGGCGGCGAGAGCGAGGTGGACGGTGCGGAGGTAGAGTACGCGCGCGCCCTCTTCCGCGCTGTCGGGGAGGCGGCGGCGGCGGGGGCGGCGGCCATGCGGCCGCGCGAGCTCGCCGCTCTCTCGCGCGCGTGGGCGCGCGCTGTCCAGGCGCGCCACGCCGATGTCCAGCGACACATCGAGATTACCCGAGATCACCCGAGATCACCCGAGATCACCCGAGATCACCCGAGATCACCCGAGATCACCCGAGATTACCGGCGTCCGTGTTGCGCAGGCGGGCCGCGCAGAGAGTGACCCTCGCTTGCTGGCCGAGCTCATCGCGGCGGCGCGGCCACAGCTACACTGCTTCTCGGCCGGCGAGCTGGCCACCTTGGCGTGGGCTGTCTCCAAGGCTTCGCTCCTCGAGCCGAGCCTGCTCGGAGGCCTCTCGGCGCAGCTGCTTGCAGAGCAGCCCGACGGCACGCTGCGCTTGCGGGAGCTGGACAGCGGCGAGCTAGAGAGAGGGCCGTGATCTCGCCGAGATCTCGCCGAGATGGAGCAGAGGGAGAAAGCTGGTGATGGACATCGGCGGGCTTCGGACGCTCGCGATGGACCCTTTCCGGATCCTTCCCGGAACCTTCCCGGAACCTTCCCGGACCCCTTCTTCCCGGACCCCTTACCGGAACCCTTCCCGGACCCTTCCCGGACCTTTCCCGGAACCTTCCTGCAGGCGAGCTCGTGATGCTCACCATGGCGCTGCGCATCGCGCGCCGCAGCGCGCGCGGGCAGCCCGAGCTGCTCGACGCTCTCGGCGACGAGCTGGCGCTGCGGCAGACGGAGCTCACGTCGCGCGAGCGGCGGATGGTGGCCAGCGCGTTCGCGTACCTCGGCCACGAGCAGCCACTGCACGCGGTGCAGGACAGCGGCGAGGAGTTCTTCGTCGGGTGACCACCCGCTGTGCGCTGAGCTCCAATCTTGAGCGCGGTGTGTGTCGGCCATGGGGGAGGCACATGCATCGTGTGGTGTGGTTAAGCGTATTTTCCATTCGCAACCATCGCAAAATCGCCCGGCTCGCGTCGTGAAAAACAGAAATCGCCTGGCCCTTGCCCCACCACCGCGTGTGTGTGGAGAAAAGTACCGTACCTTACCTTAGGTTGGGAGAGAGAGAGTGTTTTGTTAGGTTGGCGACGCGACGCCGCACCAGATGCGAACGCTCTACCTCAACTTCTTCCCGGACAAGCCGCAGCTCGCCGACGCCTTCGCGGAGGCCCTCTCCGGCTCCTCCGTCTCGTCTCTCGACGGCGCGCCGCTGCAGCCCCGACCTTAGCTCGCCCTCGCGCGACCTCTGCTGGGACGCGCGGATGCGTTTTCTTTTTCTAGGCGCTGCTGCAGTCGTACCTGCTCGTCTGGCGCCACTCGGCGGAGCAGGCGTGCGAGGGCGCGGCAGAGCTGGCTACCGGGGTGGCGCAGGCGAGGGACGCGCGCGCGATGCGGCCGCGGCCGCCGCCGAGGGAGGCAAAGGGCGGGTAGTGCCGGGCCGAGCTGCAATGCTGTTGGGGGGGGATGGCCATGGCCAGTGGCAGTGCGCCCACCGCCGGGCGCCGGCTCGGGGGCTCGAGGGGGCGAGGCCTCGAGCTCTATCAGGTGTCACTGTCAGGGCGGCTGGCTTATTTCGTTTCTTTCAAAAGAATCACCGCGTCGGACGCCCGCGCCACGCGTCGCCGATACTTCACGAGATTCGAGAGACTCCTCTCATTCGAGACGCGACTCACGGTACTGTAGACGACCGGAGAGTTCACGGCTCTCCACCGCTGGCGTCGCGCGCCTCGATCTTCTTGGGCAGCAGCTGGTTCGACAGGTCCTCTCCATGGCCTAGGCAGCCGTGGAAGCCGTGGCCCCAGGTAAAGACAGCGCCGTCGGTGGCGAGGGCGAGGCTGTGGCGGACCCCAGCGGACACAGCGACGACGCGCTGGCCAGCCAAGGCCTCGAGCTTCTTCGGCAGCAGCTGGCGCTGCTCGTCGCCGTGGCCCAACATGCCGCCGGTTCCATAGCCCCAGCTCCAGACAGAGCCGTCGGCGGTGAGGGCGAGGTTGTGCATAGCTCCAGCCGACACGGCGACGACGCGCTGGCCTGCCAAAGCCTCGACCTTCTTCGGCAGCAGCTGGTCCTGCTCGTCGCCGTGGCCCAGCTGTCCAAAGTAGCAATGGCCCCAGCTCCAGACGGCGCCGTTGGCAGTGAGGGCGAGACTGTGCTCGCCTCCAGCCGAGACTGCGATGACGCGCTGGCCAGCCAAGGCCTCGACCTTCTTGGGCAGCAGCTGGCGCTCGCTGTCGCCGTGGCCCAGCTTGCCGTTGTCTCCATCGCCCCAGCCCCAGACGCTGCCGTCGGCGGTGAAGGCGAAGCTGTGGTACTGCCCAGCCGACACAGCGACGATGCGCTGGCCAGCAAACGCCTCGATCTTCTTGGGCAGCAGCTGGTTCTGCGAGTCGCCGTGGCCCAGCGCGCCCCAGTATCCACGGCCCCAGCTCCAGACAGAGCCGTCGGCGGTGAGGGCGAGGTTGTGCATAGCCCCAGCAGACACGGCGACGACGCGCTGGCCAGCAAACGCCTCGACCTTCTTTGGCAGCGGCTGGTCCTGCTCGTCGCCGTGGCCCAACTTGCCAAAGCCTCCATAGCCCCAGCTCCAGACACTGCCGCCGGCGGTGAGGGCGAGGCTGTGGGCATCTCCAGCCGACACACTCACGGCGCGCTCGCCGCCCAGCGCCGAAGTAAGGCGCGTCGGCGTGTTCAGCCGCGTCACGCCCTCGCCGTGGCCGGGCAGGCCTGGGTAGCTCCACCCACTGCCGCACGACGAGAGCCGCCCCTCGCCGTCGATGAAGAGGCTGTGGGAGGAGCCTGCCGCCGCCCTCGCCGGCGGGTTGGACTCGCACAGCACCGCGACGAAGCACAGCCACCGCACGGCACAGCCCTCGCCCTCTGGCAGCGCCGGCAGCTCGAAGCCGCGCTCTTGCGCCCACAAGCGGATGCCCTCCAGCGCAAGCGAGGCGTGGAAGAGCAGCGAGACGGCCGCGACGCGAGCGATGTCGGCGGGGTCGCAGTGAGAGAGGACGCGCACGACGAGCTCCGTGGGGAGGTCGAGGAGGCGGGTGGGCGGCGGCGTGTCTGGCGAGGGGGTGGCGGAGGAGGCGGTGGCGAGGCGGCGCGAGCGGCGGCGCGGTGGGGTGGACATCGCGAGGAAAAGAAAAAATTCGATCCAATGCCACCGTTCTCGCCCGGGGTGACCCCGGCCGGGCTGCCGACACTCTCAGAACCGGTGGAGCTGGGAGAGGCTAGCGAAGACGAAAGGCGGCAGCGGAGGAAGCGACACCAACAACGAGGGAAACGACCACACCGGCCGTCGTATGACGCTCGGCAAGCGAGCAAGAGAGCGAATCGGGGAGAACCGGAGCCCCGGGAGGACCGAAGGTGGAGCCCCGGGACCGAGGACTAAGCAAGTGTCTGTTTGGGCGTGGTGTCCAGTGTAATGTCCACTAGCTCCGAGTAGAGGGGGCGTCCTGCAGTTAAGGGGAAACCCGGTACGCGGGTCCAACCCTCGGAGAACTGTGTTTACTTTAAGGCCCTTGCCCTGCGAACGCGCACCCCCGGGGCTAGGGCTCTCTAGCCCGTAACCCGATGCCAATCATCCGGCCCGCTGGGTGCGCTTCTGAGCTCCCCGGCCCTGGATGTGCGGTTGATGACTGCACTCCAAGTGCTCCAAGATCATACCCGTACGACGGCAGAAGGCAACGACGCGACAGAGGAGGAAATGACAAGGGAGAGAACGACGAGAGTGGGACGACCGCGAGGTGGCATGAAGGTTGCAGCGAGAATCTGCGAGAGACTGCGAAGAGAGATAGGAAGAGGCAGACTCCCTAGGGTGGGCGACAGGTAAGGTAAGGTAAGGTAAACTTCTCCACACACACGAGGTGGTGGGGCAAGGGGGGGCAACCCTCGCGTCTCCACGTCTGACGACAGGAGCCCCACGGCATTCAAAGTGCAAGGCCCAGTGCGCGTGGGTGAGCGGTGTGTGTGTGTGTGTGTGTGTGTGTGTGTGTGTGTGTGTGTGTGTGTGTGTCTAGCTTCGCGCCCCCCATCGCCGCGATGGTCCGGTGGCGCTCCCATGTCCGTTTTGTCGCGCCCTTCCATTTAATTAGGTACTCCCACCGTTCGGTCGCGTCCTCTCCCGTCTCCCCCGTTCGTCGTGCCCCGTCGATTCGTTCGTACGTCCATTTGTCTTCGCCCTTTACTTGTCCATTTCGGACTCCCCTCTGTTCTGTCGACGCTTCCGCCGCAATTCGGATGGCTATTCTCTGATCACTTCTGTTCCATTCTAGCCCTGCCTCGTCCCATCGCTCGTGCCTCCCCGCAAACCATTGTGCGGTCGTCGCCTCTGGCTGTCCGTTTAACTCGCCTAGTAGCTGTTCGTAGTCCTCTTTATCTGTCTTGCCCCGCAACTCATGGACCCTCGATGCCTCAGTCCACGTCATCCATCCGTCGCCCTTCTCGTTTGTCACGTCGCTCCACCATACCAATCCGACCTCCGCGAGCCTCTTCTTGTATGTGCACCGTCGGGCGCCTCGCCTCCACATGGTCATGCTGTCTTCCCATAGTCGTGGGCCCCGCACTGTTTCCTGTTGGCCAGTCATCTCCCACAGGTCATCATCGAGGCCGTCTTTCATCTGCATCGACGTCCTCATGCCTCGTAGTCCTGCCCGATTCCGCTGTAGGTAGTATGCCTCCATCAGGTTTCCTTCATTTAGTTGCTCGTCGGGTATGAATGTCGTGTCCCATTCGAGTGGGTGTTTGCCGCGGCACCCCAGTCTCCATGCCGTCCTCGCCAGCGCATATCTCGCGACCATCCCCGCGGGTCGTCCCTCTGGTGCCGAGAGCATGTTGTCGATCGTGCTCATCCAGCTCGCCGTGGCTACCTGATACGTGTGCATGCTCCCTTCACCACCCTCTTCCTCCGCCGCGTATAGGTGTGCCTTCGGGTATGCTGTTCCTGCTCCCTGTCGCTCTATCGCGTCTCGCCTCGCAACTTCGATGGCGTCACAGTCCTCCATCGTCATGACGGTCCCTCTTGCAGCCGCTCCGACCACCCCTTCCATCGCGGCGTTCATCGCTCGTTGCATCTCGTCCGCATTTAATTGCGTGAGCGCGCCCACCATTTTCATTAGCCGCGTCGCTTCCCTTCTCGTTTTTTGTCTCGCCGGTTCCATCCCCTTCTGCCACTGCGAGGCTAGCGCATCACACACCTCTCCTTAAAATCCCTGTGTGGTGGCGGCGTGCCGTCCTCCCATCCCTCCCTTGGGTTGTCTGTTTTCTTTCTTTCTTTCTTTACACGATCATTTCAACAAAGCACTCTTGACCATTCCACATCTCCGGTCGGTCTCGCGCGGGCCGCCCCAGATCACAGCCACAATGCATAAATCTCATCTTACGTCCTGGATTCGCCTCTCACCACTCTCGGATACGTTCGCCGCCTAATCGAGTACAAGTCTCGGAGGCGTTCGCAGATGGCGAAGAGGACGTGGGAAACGCGGAAACACAGAGCCTTGCACCCTTTCGCCCTTCTCATCACTGCCCCGGCGCCCACCCCTCGATCTTCTTGGGCAGCAGCTGATTCGACAGGTCCTCTCCGTGGCCTAGGCAGGCGTAATGACCCTTGCCCCAGGTAAAGACAGCGCCATCGGCGGTGATGGCGAGGCTATGCTGCCACCCAGCCGATACGGCCACAGCGCGCTGGCCAGTGAAGGGCTCGACCTTCTTGGGCAGCAGCTGGCTCTGCTCGTCGCCGTGGCCCAGCTTGCCGTCGACTCCATGGCCCCAGCTCCAGACGGCACCGTCGGCGGTGAGGGCGAGACTGTGGTGCTCATTGGCCGACGCAGCGACGACGCGCTGGCCAGTCAAGGCCTCGACCTTCTTGGGCAGCATCTGGTCCTGCACGTCGCTGTGGCCCAACTGGCCTACGCCTCCCCAGCCCCAGCTCCAGACGGCGCCGTTAGTGGTGAGGGCGATGTTGTGGCCACCTCCTGCCGACACAGCGCTGACGCGCTGGCCAGCAAAAGCCTCGACCTTCTTGGGCAGCAGTTGGTACAGGTGGTCGCCGTGGCCCAGCTTGCCATAGCTTCCATCGCCCCAGCTCCAGACGTTGCCGTCGGCGGTGATGGCGAGGCCGTGGCCGGTTCCCGCCGACACGGCGTTGACGCGCTGGCCAGCAAAGGCCTCGACCTTCTTGGGCAGCAGCTGGTTCTGCTGATCGCCGTGGCCCAACCGGCCTTGGTGTCCTGCGCCCCAACTCCAGACAGCGCCACCGGCGGTAAGGGCAAGGCTGTAAGAACCTCCAGCCACCGCGGCAATGACGCTCTTGCCCGCCAAGGCCTCGATCTTCTTTGGCTCGCACTGGCGCTGCGTGTCGCCGTGGCCCAGCTGGCCCCAGCCTCCCATGCCCCAGCTCCAGACGGCTCCGCCGGCGGTGAGGGCGAGGTTGTGGTATCCTCCAGCCGACATGCTCACGACGCGCTCGCCACCCAGCGGGGAAGGGAGGCGGGTCGGCGTGTTGAGCTGCGCCACGCCCTCGCCGTGGCCGAGTAGTCCTGGATAGAAGAGCGTCTTGCCGCACGACGAGAGCCGCCCCTCGCCGTCGATGAAGACGCTGTGCCGTTGGCCTGCCGCCGCCCTCGCCGGCGGGTTGGACTCGCGAAGCAGCGCAGCGAAGCACAGCCACCGCACGGCGCAGCCCTCGCCCTCGGGCTGCGCCGGCAGCTCGAAGCCGCGCTCTTGCGCCCACAAGCGGATGCCCTCCAGCGCAAGCGAGGCGTGGAAGAGCAGCGAGACGGCCGCGACGCGAGCGATGTCGGCGGGGTCGCAGCGAGAGACGACGCGCACGACGAGCTCCGTGGGGAGGTCGAGGAGGCGGGTGGGCGGCGGCGTGTCTGGAGAGGGGGCGGCGGTGGAAGCGGTGGCGAGGCGGCGCGAGCGGCGGCGCGGCGGGGTGGACATTGCGAGGAAAAGAATTTAAACAACACAACTCGCTCTCGAGGAAAAGAATTACAGTAGCCAAAAGTTTTTTCTTTTGCGCACCGCAAAGCAGGAAACCCGCGCGCTGCTGAGCAGAGGGCCGAAATGGTGGACCGGGCGCGTGCCAGAGCTCCCGATGGCGAGCCGCCCTCCTGCCCTCCCTCACGGCCGCCTGCCCGGTGCGCACCAGGCCGAGATGAAGAAGCACGTGGAGCAGATCATCGGGGAGGTTGGCGTCGACAACCTCTCCGCCAAAACGGTGCGGCGGGCTGTGTCGGCGAGCCCGGCAGTGGGCTCCCTGCGCCTCTCCGTAGGTGCGGGAGAAGCTTGAGACGGCGCTGGGCAAGGAGCCGGGCGAGCTCAAGCCGGACGCCGTCGGTTCTCGTCAAAAGCATCTACTGTGGAGCTCTCAGTGTGGTTGCGTGTTACTTTTACTAGTGATGCTGCACTAGGCGGCCCGGTTTTAGCAAAAAGCAGATACCAGGACCCCTCGATCGTCTCGCCCTCACATCCGCAGAGTGCGCCGTTAAAAAAGTGCGCCGTGCGGCGCAAAGTGCGCCGGCCGGCGCAGAGTGCGCCGGCGCCGGCGCAAATTTGCGCCGGCGCCGGCGCAAAGTGCGCCGTTTTCTCCGCCGTTTCGTTCGGGCTTTCGGCGCACTCTGCGCCGCCGCACCAAATAGGGGTTTTATATTATACCAAAAGCTAGGCCCTCTATGTGGGGGTTTCACACCACATACTGGTTGCCCCTCGCTTGTAGCCTGGCGTTTGTGCCCCGTTTGTGCCGCGTCCCGTGCGGGGGAGTTCATTTTATAATGCCCCTCGCTCCATATGGGGCTGGCACTTGGAGTGCAGTCTTCGCAGTGAGTCACGGCCGCGTCATCAGCCGACGGTGTCGATGTTGGCCGGCTTTACGGTGGGAATGGTTACGCTGAACCATGCTGGTGTGGGGCTGTTCCCGCCGCCGTGCCGCCTCCGGGTCGCGCCGTCTTCGACCTTCGCCATGGCTGCACCAGCTGCTGAAGGCCCGGCCAGTGGCAGCAGCACAGACGGAGGAGCGATGGCAGCTGCGCGAGGGCGAAAGGCGCGAGCGGCGCGGCGGCGGAAGCACGGCGAGGAGGGAGACCGCGCCATCTCCCAGCGGGCGCACCTCGCGGCGGCGGAAGCGGCGGGCGGCGCCGACGCGCTCGGCCGGGCTGGCATGGCGGCGGCGGCGTCAGCGGCCGGCGGGACGGCGGCGTTTGCGGCGGCCGGCCGCGCGAGCCGCGCAGCGGCGCACCCACTCGGCGAGACTGGCGTGGCGATGCAGACCGGCATCGGCGCCGCCATCAAGGAGGGTCGGTACACCAAGTACCCCGGCGTTCAGTTTCGGCGAGAGACGGGTGCGCGCGTCCGTCGAGATGCAGCGGAGAGCAAGCTCTAGAGAGCAGCAACAGCTCTAGCAAGCCTTTGGATCAGCCCTCGGCCCCTGTGCGGCGACCACCCAAGCTGCCCCTTCAGGCAAGTGGCGGGTGCAGTTCAAGTACCAGGCCGTGCGGCACCGCGTCCAAGGACCGCCTCGCCCCCCGCCCCCCCCCTCCCCCGCCGCTTGGATGTATGACACCGTCCACGACACCGTCCTCCACCGTCCTGAACGCGTCCATACATGAGTGCACCGGTCGCGCATCGATTGAGTAGTGCCGCCGCCGCACCCCTCAACGGCCCCCGCCCAAAGACCGCGCGGCGGGGACCCTAACCCTAACCCTAACCCCAACGGCCCCTTCGGAACTCTCCAGGCCAGTTCGCGCTCGAGGCGGACGCGGCGCGCGCTCACGACGCGTGCGCGCCGCGGCTCAGCGGCGGTCGTCCTTAACAGCCGTCTCGGAACCTTCTCGGAGCCTTCCTGTAGGTATGTGCGAGCGCACGGGCTGAGGCGAGATGCGCCCGAGATGCGGCCGAGATGCGGCCGAGATGCGGACGAGATCGCGGGATCATCGGCGGCGGCACTTTTCCCCCTTGCGACGGCCAGGCTGGAGCGTACCACGAACTTTCCTGGAAGCGTCCCTGCAGGCGGCCGTTGCACTTTCCGGCCGACGGCGAGGTCGGCTCGCTCTCCGCGCAGGCGCGGAGACCGGCCGAGAGGTCGCCGAGAGGAGGCTAGATGTGCCGCCACGTCCTCGCTGCTGGCTGACCGACTCAATCAGATGTTGGAGCTGCGCAGAGCGAGAGGAGCCTTCTGCCTTTCGGCCGCTCCTCCCGCCTTCGCCCCTCTTGAGCCGTTCACACACCTTGGACCGCGCATCCCCCGGCAAATGAGCGCTAGTGACTGCACCCTTCAAGCTTGCTGCGTCTGGTGTCTGTCGACCCGCTTCATCTCGGCTTATCTCGACGAATCTCGGCGAATCTCGGCGAATCTCGGGCAGGTGCAGCCGTCCGCCGCCTACCGGCCCCGCTCGCTGCTGCCCTACGCGTACGAGCGCTACTTGCAGGCATCTCGGTCAATCTCGGCGCATCTCGGCGCATCTCGGCGCATCTCGACGCATCTCGACGAATCTCGGCTCACCGAGCACCACCTGCTGCGCAGGCCTCCCAGCCGCAGCTAGAGGAGGGGGCGACGGGGAGCGGGAGCGAGGAGGAGGAGGCGGCGGAGGCGCCGCGAGAGGCGGTCGAGGGTGGTGCGGGAGAGGCGTCCAGGGGGGTGGCGGCGACGCTGACGGACGTTCCCTGACCTCGTATACGTCGATGGCGCGGTCCCGCGAGAGGTGTACGGCTCTATATGGCGCTCCCGAGGTCTCGGAGAAACTTAGGGTACACGTATATATGCGGCCATGACCCGAACGTATAAAAGTCTAAAACCGTGTCTTGAGAGTCTCACCGATGGAAGAAGGAAGAATCTTCAACCTGTTTTGCCTTCTTAACTCTACGCTTACGCTCAGTCGCCCCCGCGCACGCGCACGCTCAGTCGTCCCGCGGCTCGGGGCCGCAGCCGCCCTCCACGCGCTTGCAAAAGCTGTGGTACCAGCCGGGCTGCCGCGGCGCCCTCCACGTCGGAGCCGCCTATGGGACGTAGTACGGGACGGGTCGTGAGGGCATGTCTGTGTCTAGGAGGCCGGCGCCCGCCGCGACGGAGCCGCCGCGTCCGCCACGATGCCGCTCTGCCACGTCAGCCGCTCGGGCGGCGGCCCTGCGGGACGTCTCGTGGAAGTGTCAGTGTATATGCTTCGTGGCTGGCTCAGTGGCCGTGTCAGTGCACGTGTCAGTGGACGTGCCACGGCCACGTGTCGGTGGATGATGGACTTGTGCATTCGGAGCCAGACACTGTGGCTCGTGGCTGATGACATGGCACATTTTCTCAAGCAGTGTCTCGGAGGTGTCTCGGAAGTGTCTTGGCGTTCGAAGGTGCCACGCACCGGGCCACAGCTGCTCCGGGACCGCCCACGGCCACTTCTTCCGCTCGGCGGCTCGGAAGGGCGCGGGAAGAGTCGGCCCTGCCGCCACCGGCGAGGAGAGGTTGCCTTCGAACTTGAGCCAACACTCGCCTGCGCACAGATCGGAGCTGTACAATAGCACAAGAGGTGTCGCCATCGGCCTAAGAGCTGGCATTCGCCCTTCACGTGCTTGTGTATGTCGTACGAAAAGCAGCGGTCCTCCGCGCCGGCGCGATCCGAGCCCGCGCAGAACACCCAGGCGTTGCAGCGGCCGCGGCCGCGCCCGCACTTCTTCCCGGGCGCGTACTCTTGCGCCGGATGCGTCTGTGTGCCGCAGTGCTTCTGGTGCGCCGCGCAGAGGGCGCAGCACTCGCCGGCGGACCCGACAATGTTGTTCAAGCCCCTACGAGCAGCAGCGGCTCGGCTCAGCCTGTAGCTTCACTATGTCTCGAGTTTTGCATGGGCATTGACGCCACAGGCGGCGTGTGGGTGGCGAGCAGGCAGTGTGCTCACCAGACGTAGGCGGCCTGGCCCGATAGGTCCCGTCCGTCTCGCGCGTGGCAGGAGAGCGGATTGGGGAGCGCCGCCTGCGCATCGACCTGTGTGGCGAAGCGAGTGGTGAGCATGACACGTGTGGAATGAAGAATTCTTGCGGCACAGTCTCTCACAGCACACTGGCACGACAAGGGCGCGGACTGGCGCGGACTGGCACACACACCGGCTCACCACCGGAGCCGCCTAAGCGACTCCGTTAAGAACGGCAATGCATTCCGCACCGTGCACAATGCCGCTCTCCCCGCACGCTAGCTCGTTCACCGTCTGCCACGCCACGGCGGTGTGGAGGACGACAGACAAGCGCTGCATCTGCAGCCCGTGCCAGTTCTTGGTGGTCCATGTGACCTCGTCCAGGTGCTGAGCGTGCGAAAGTTTGTTGCTCAGCTGGTTCGCCGCCTCCCTCAGGGTGCTGCGGACCTCCTTTCCAAAGCCTCCGAAAGAATGAAGAATGAAGAAAAATCAACGATTTAATTTTATGTAGTCGGTGTGCGGGCGTGCTTCCACTCTCGAGTCCCGTTACGAGTGGAGACTACTGACATCCGAATAGGAAATTAGAGCGAGTGCAGCGAGCAGTTCGCGAATTCTTTTGCAGACCCACACACAAAAGAAAGTCAAAGTAACAAAGAACACTTTCAAGGACACGAGCTGGGGAGTGGGGTGTGGCTGTGGACTGGTGCCTGTGTGGAGTCTGGGGACGCGTCCCCACCGCGGGACTCTCTCTCTCTCTCTCCGCTCTCTCTCTCTCGGGTGCGGGGTGGGGCGGGGGTGGGGCACCTGCTTATGTATCTCGCAGAGCACATGGCATGACTGTGCGCGACACATGCGCGGGAGACCGTGCCCGCGCGCGAGCCGCGGGCGGGGGGGGGAGGCCCTCACGGCCTTCCGACCGAGACCAGCAACGGAGGGGGGCAGGAGGGCGCGCGGCAAGCCGCGGGGCTCGGCGCATAGCACGGGACAGTCGGAGAAGGGGGCAACACTGACCGTCACTTGCACCCTACCGCCCTTCTCATCACTGCCCCGGCGCCCACGCCTCGACCTTCTTTGGCAGGAGCTGGTTCGACAGGTCCTCTCCGTGGCCAAGGCAGCCACGCTCACCCTCGCCCCACGTGAAGACAGCGCCGTCGGCGGTGCGGGCGATGCTGTGGTTGTCTCCTGCCGACACCCCGACGACGCGCCGACCCGCAAAAGCCTCGACCTTCTTGGGCAGCAGCTGGTTCTGCTCGTCGCCGTGGCCCAGCCTGCCCCCACCTCCTTCGCCCCAGCTCCAGACGGCGCCGTCGGCGGTGAGGGCGAGACTGTGGTGCTCATTGGCCGACGCAGCGACGACGCGCTGGCCAGCAAACGCCTCGACCTTCTTCGGCAGCAGCTGGTCCTGGTAGTCGCCGTGGCCCAGCTGGCCGTAGCCTCCACTGCCCCAGCTCCAGACAGCGCCGTCGGTGGTGAGGGCGAGGTTGTGCACCATTCCAGCCGACACAGCGACGACACGCCGACCAGCGAAGGCCTCGATCTTCTTGGGCAGCAGCTGGTCCTGCCGGTCGCCGTGGCCCAGCATGCCGCGGCTTCCAAAGCCCCAGCTCCAGACAGAGCCGTCGGCGGTGAAGGCTAGGGTATGCGAGAATCCAGCCGCGACAGCGACGACGTGCTGGTGAGCCAAGGCCTCGACCTTCTTTGGCAGCGACTGGCTCTGCTGGTCGCCGTGGCCCAGCCTGCCGCGGCTTCCAAAGCCCCAGCTCCAGATGGCGCCGTCGGCGGTCAGGGCGAGGCTGTGCACAGCTGCAGCCGACACAGCGACGATGCGCCGGCCAGCAAAGGCCTCGATCTTCTTCGGCTGCCACTGGTTCTGCTGGTCGCCGTGGCCCAACCGGCATGAGGCTCCCCAGCCCCAGCTCCAGACGCTGCCGTCGGCGGCAAGGGCGAGGCTGTGCCCGGCTCCAGCCGACACACTCACGGCGCGCTCGCCGCCCAGCGAGGAAGGGAGGCGGGTCGGCGTGTTGAGCTGCGCCACGCCCTCGCCGTGGCCGAGGAGGCTTGGGGAAAGGAGGGGGTGATCCGGCACATAGCCGCACGACGAGAGCCGCCCCTCGCCGTCGATGAAGACGCTGTGCCGATAGCCCGCCGCAGCCCTCGCCGGCGGGTTGGACTCGCGCAGCAGCGCCGAGTAGCACAGCCACCGCACGGCGCAGCCCTCGCCCTCCGGCTGCACCGGCAGCTCGAAGCCGCGCTCTTCCGCCCGCAAGCGGATGGCCTCCAGCGCAAGCGAGGTTTGGAAGAGCAGCGAGACGGCCGCGACGCGAGCGATGTCGAGGGGGCTGTTGCAGCGAGAGAGGACGCGCAGGAGGAGCTCCGTGGGGAGGTCGAGGAGGCGGATGGGCGGCGGCGCGTTTGGCGAGGGGGTGGCGGAGGAGGCGGGGGCGAGGCGGCGCGAGTGGCGCGGCGGGGTGGACATCGCGAGAAAAAGTTTTTCGCGAGAAGCATGGAAATTTTCTTCTTTTGTGTCTCCGAAGTCTCCACGTCGGCTCCGTGTGTCTATGCGTCGCCTGCTCGCTGCGCCTCGCTGGCAGCGATTAGCGGCGCTGCCTGCGCTGCCGGTCGCGCATCGGCCGTGCGCGCCTCTCCGCCGCGCCGCCTCCAGTCTCGCCGACCGCCCCGAGGACGCCGCCGCCGCCGCCGCCGCCGCGAGCGCCGGCAGCTTTGCGGAGCAGCACGGCATCACGCTGACCGGCGATCTGGGCGAGGTGGACGCGACGCCGGCCACGTCGTTCGCGGCGCTGCGACGCACCGTCGGCGGCGTCGACCAGCCGCTCCCCACCGCCGTCGCCCACTTCTTGCACAAGCGCGGGTTTGACGCGCCGAGCCCGATCCAGGCGCAGTCGCTGCCGCTGACGCTGGCGGGGCGCGACGTGGTTGCGATCGCGCAGACGGGGTCGGGGAAGACGCTCGGCTTCCTGCTCCCTCTCCTCTGGGAGGCCGCCGCCGCTCGCAAGGCAGAGCTAGCCCCTCTGCCCCCGCCCCTGCCCGAACCCTCTCGGAACCCTCTCGGAACCTTCTCGGAACCCTCTCGGAAGCCTCTCGGAACCCTCTCGGAACCCTCTCGGAGCCTTCTCGGAACCTTCGGGCAGGCGGACCGGTCCACCCGCGGCCCTCTCGCGTTTGTGCTGGCGCCGACGCGAGAGCTGGCGCAGCACACCCGCGACGAAGCAATTCGTGCCCCCTTGTGAACGGCGTCTCTTCACAGCTGCAGGGCTGTGAACAGGCGCAGCAGATCCACGAGGAGGCGAGGCCCCTCGCCGCCGCCTTTGGCTGCCGCACCACTTGCGTCTTCGGGGGCATGCGAAAGTACCTGCAGGAGCGGGAGGTGCTGATGCTCGGAGGAGAGCTGGGCCGGGTCGCGGGGGACGGCTAATGACGAATTATCAATCACCGTCGATTTAATGAGTGACAGGAACGCTGGACCTGGCTGGTGGGGACGCTTACTACTGTGCGCTGTCCTCCTCATCATTGTTCAACAACGACTAGGAAAGCTGGATTTGGTTGTCGGGACGCCGGGCCGGCTGAACGACATGCTGCGCGACCAGACGATCCGCACGAAAAACGTGCGGCACCTCGTCCTCGACGAGGCAATCGCATGCTCGACATGTTCACAGCAGGAGGGGTGCAGAGACGCTGGTCACAGCAGGAGGTGTGAACAGGCGGATCGCATGCTCGATATGTTCACAGCAGGAGGGGTGCAGAGACGCTGGTCACAGCAGGAGGTGTGAACAGGCGGATCGCATGCTCGATATGTTCACAGCAGGAGGGGTGCAGAGACGCTGGTCACAGCAGGAGGTGTGAACAGGCGGATCGATGCTCGACATGTTCACAGCAGGAGGGGTGCAGAGACGCTGGCCACAGCAGGAGGTGTGAACAGGCGGATCGCATGCTCGATATGGGGTTCGAGCCGCAGCTGCGGGAGATCGTCGACCATTTGCCCGCAGACGGCGGCCGGCAGACCTTCATGTTTTCGGCGACGTGGCCTTCGGAGGCGCGCAAGCTGAAGGAGGAGAAGACTCCAGTGTTCGGCTCAATGAATCAATACCACTGAATCAGCACCACTCGTGCAGGTGGGGAAGCTGAAGGATGATCATCATGCATGATTTGGTTCAATGAGAACCATACATGATTTGGTTCAATGATGAATCAGCACCACTCGTAGGTGCGCAAGCTCGCGATGGACTTTCTGGACGACCCGGTCCGGTCCAACGTTGGCGGGGAGGAGGGGCTAAGAGTAAGATTAGTTAACTAATTCGTGTGTCTCAGGTCCGGATCAACGTTGGCGGGGAGGACGAGCTTGTCGCCGCTAAGTCGATTGTGCAGCAGGTGCGGCCCCGCCAGTAGACAGACCTCATCAGCACTTTACTGCTGCGATTCCTCCTCCTCCTCCTACCTACTGCTTATTGCTGCTGCTGCTGCTGCTACTACTGCTGCTTACCGCTACTTCTACTGCTGCTGCTGCTGCTACCAACTGCAGCGGGTCTTGCTCGCGCCAGGTGCGGCTCTGCGACGCGCGCGGCGCCAAGCTGATCGACTCTTCCGACCTGATCGAGAAGATGGAGGCGGCGATGAAGGAGGAGGGCCACGGCAACGCGCGCTCCTCGCGCGCCTGCCACACCATCGTCTTTGTCAACCGGAAGCGAGACGCGGAGATGGTGGCCGAGTATATCGAGCGCAACGTCGAGGGCGTGCGCGCCGAGTCGCTGCACGGCGATTTGCTGCAGGCGAGATGCAGCCGAGATGCAGCCGAGATGCAGCCGAGATGCAGCCGAGATGCAGCCGAGACACAGCCGAGAGACAGCCGAGGTGCAGCCGAGAGGCAGCCGAGAGACAGCCGAGAGGCAGGCGAGAGGCAGCCGAGATGCAGCCGAGGTGCAGCCGAGGTGCAGCCGAGGTACACGCGAGAGGCAGCTGAGGTGCAGCCGAGGCGCAGCCGAGGGGCAGCCGAGGTTCAGTCGAGGTGCATCCGAGATGCGAGGGAGATGCAGCCGAGATGCAGCCGGTAATCTCCAGCCTCGTGGCTTCACAGCGCCCTCCGCCTGCTGTAGGGCCGGCGGGACCGGGTACGCGACAACGTCAAGAGCGGTCGCGCGCAGGCGCCCCTCGCCACGGACGGCAATCCTGATCATCATAATAATTACTCATCATAACTGCTGTTGATGTTGCCGCAGGTGCTCGTCGCCACGGACGTCGCGGCGCGCGGCCTCGACGTGCGCACCATCCGACAGGTCATCAACTTCGACAAGAAAAGAAAGGGAGATTGCGTCGTGAATTAAGCTTAACGCATCCGACAGGTCATCAACTACGACATGCCAAACAATATGGAGGACTACATCCACCGCATCGGCCGCACCGGCCGCGCGGGCGCGAGCGGTGAAGCCGCCCCGCCGGCTGTTGTCATATATATTGTTTGGCATGTCGTGGCTGATGACCTGTCGGATGCGTTAAGCTTAATTCACGACGGAATCTCCCTGTCTTTTCTTGTCGAAGTTGACGACCTGTCGGATGGTGCGCACGTCGAGGCCGCGCGCCGCGACGTCCGTGGCGACGAGCACCTGCGGC